TGCCAATCCTCCACCACACTTGCCTGTTTGCCCTCAGCAGGACAATGCCTAATGAGTAGTATCTCCCAATAAATGGTTTCATAATCTGGCTCTGTCATGGTAAACAAGCAACTCCTGCTTAGGAACCACGTGTGAAATGTAAGCATTAGGGCAATTGCTCCTATTAGCTATTACTGTCTTAGTTGTCTACAATTTACAGCACGGTACCAAGCAAACTGCTTGTAATGATCTCTTGGAAAGGAAAACAGACATACTCTATTATTTCCAAAAGTGTGACACGAATGCGGTACTTTACTGCACAACCTCACTCCAAACGTGAGTTGGCCTGTATTTATTTCTTGTCTTGTGCATCTGAGCTAACTACCTTGAGGAAGTGGTATAGAAATCGGTTGCTATGAGTCACTTGAAAATTTATTTTGCTCCTTCTTCAAACCTTGGCCTGGTTGACCTCAGCAGCCTTCATCAGTTTGAAAATGCAAGTTATAATCCTCTGTAGGGATTTAGCCAGGTGTCTATTACAGCATGTAATCTGTGATACAGCTTCCAATATTCACGCTGCAGAAAGGTTAAGCCCCTCTGTCTTTGTTCCTGAGTAAAAAAGTGCATGAGGTGTTAGTGTGGACAGGAAGCAGATTGAAAGAAGCAACATCTTCAATCAAGCTCTAAGCCTATGTGGATGCCACTGAGGAGCCATCCTGATGAGACAGGCAGCTTCGCCTGAGCAGCAGCACTCGGGCTTTAACCCTTGAACAGCAGGTGCAGCACCGCTGCTGGCTCCATTGCTGATGTTCAAAGGTCATACTACAGCTAGACCTCTGTTTTTAGCCAAAGTCCTCACTCTAGGGTCACTGTCCCATCCATCACTGAGTTGCTCCTGAAGATGCACTTGGTAAGACACACTCCTGCCCAGCGGGAGCAAGGCCAGGCTCAGCTCCCTGTCCCAGGCAGGGACACTTGCAGAGAACATCAGACACCACTGTAAAAGTTCAAGCTGGCTGACACAGACATACATCACTGTGCAATTGAGGGGAAACCCTACTGGGACCAGTCAGCCTTAGTCAGCAGCTTCTCAGGTAACTGCTTTTTCCAGCTGGGGCTGAGCATGGTCACCATGTGATACAGCCACATGCCCTCACCATGCCTGCAAAATGGGTACCTGTTCCTAAAGCCAAAAGTTTTAGACTATGTCAGTAGTTTTGGTAATAATTTGAATTTCATGAGCAGCCTAAAACAAAATAAATAGCAACTTAACTTGCCTGCCTGCAAGGAGCTATTTAATATCAATCTCCAGTTACTGTAGAGGAAAATAGTGTGTTTCTTTTAGGTGGTCAGGTGTTGGGAAAGCCTGAGCTACCTTTTACAGTAATTGGCAGTAAAGTGTGTAGAAGTATTTATTAGTGTTTAATTATTTAGAAATCTCCTAGTGGCTTAAATATAATTTTGAAAAGTTATAAATATTTTCCACTTTGTCCAGCTGAAGAGCTGCTGCTTGGAAGGCTTAAATAAAGATCTGTTGATGGCTGCCTGCTGGTCACAAAATTACCTACAGCTGCTAATGTTCTGGTCCCTTAAATGTCCCCAGCACAGAATGGGCTTTGTTTTCTCAAACTGGGGAAAATTTCTCTTTGTTGTATTCATTTTAATGAGATAGAGGTCTTAAAGAGGATTATCACAGAGATCAAGACATTAAAATATGTAACTAATCCCGGTTAATTGTTTTCATATTGATGTGTACTAAGGGATGTTCATGTAGGGTAAGACCCCTTTACACTGTTTTGGTAATGTAAGTAATACGTAACATGCAAATTACATTTAAGATGAATTAGAAGCAGTTTAAAGCCAAGTTGCTGGTAGAGACAATGGGAATCTGACTCCAAGCCTCTGAAGCAATAAACAAATATTTCAAAATTACATCAGTGAGTGCCATGTCAGTAGGCAGAGGGGAACTTACCTAAACTCATCATTTCTCTCCCCTGCCCTGTGTTAGAATTCAGGAAGTTTATTTTATTGGCTTATATCGGCTTACATTTTTTTTTCCTGCTAATTTCCTCTCTAGAATACTGAATTCCACACAGGTTTTTTTGGTGTCATCAAATCATTCTCTTCTTAAAAGAGAATTATGTGCTATGAAATTAAAAGAATAATCCATCTTTTTGGGGAGGATATGCCTGAAGCTTTTTAGTAGGATTTTCATTTGCAGTGATGTCCTTATCCCAGGGTTTCAGTGGCAGGTTGTGCTACTGATGTTACCACGGGTAAGTGTTTTAGGTGCAGGACAGCAATGTGATTCAGACCCATTTCTCACTGTACTCTGCCATTAATTGGAATGGCCTCATCTTTCCCAAGAACCTTCATGCCCACAGAGATGTAGATCATCATTCAGTAGCAAGCTAGGTCTGGTTTTTAGCATTCACTATACCATTCTTCTAGGTACCTTATTGCTACCAGCTCTCATGATGATCTTACTGTGTTCACACTAGCTTGTGTTTTGTTAGAGCCCCATCTCCCAGCATTCTCTGATTATATTGGCACCGCAGCTTTAGCTAAAAAGGAGAAGGTGACAAAAAATGGAGTGAAAGAAATCAACTCATATACAGAAACAAACAATACATCTCACACAATCTGGGTTACCTGCTGGAAGTCATAAAACATGCCTTCTCCAGCATCCAGGGGCTAGCAGATTAGAGCGGCTTTAGTTTTTAACATGAAGAATCACAACAGCCTCAGTGGTTGCTTGTGGAGCAGGAAGCCAAAGCCGTCCCTCAGCAGTGCTTAATGCACCTGTCTGGCTACCCAGGAGCATTTATTTGCTGTGTTACGATACCCATGATGTCCCAGTGAAGTTGCTTTTACCAAAGCAATGGCAGATGCACATACATTATACGTACACAGGCAGCTTAATGGTGACAGATACAGAAGTGACCAGATTTTCTAGTAAACCTCAGAATGGTGTGATTTACAGAACTCTCAGCATTTTCTGCAAAATTGATAGTTACATATAGTCAAAGGGTCTGGAAACTTACAGATTTAACAATATGCATATTTTCCCTAAAGAAAAGAAAAGTAAGCTAGCAAATCCTGGTGTGTATGTCTGATATATTAAATGGGGCTTAAATAATAAAAAATAATTTAAAATTCTGCTTTAAACTTATTTTTTATTTTCACTGTTTTATTCAAAAGGAAGGCGTAGAAATAGCAACTGAGCTTGAAATCAGAGCTGTAACAGGGGCTTATTATAGACACGTTTTACGGAGCATTTTCAGTTACAGCTGCATGCTTCGAAGGTGTCAGTGTAACAAGCAGTGCTGCTTTTCAAATAACCCTTTTTGTTGTCTTGTAGTTTTTTTCCTAACTTTGAGTCCCAGTGAATCATTGTCAGTTTTAGCATTCAGCTATATTAATGGGAAAGAAAGAGAGAAAGAAAATAGTATTTCCCTGCCCAGGTAAGAGGAAGTTGCCAGTGGGGAGGTCAAAGTGAGTGCAGAAGTCCTTTTGCTTGTGTTTCGTGGGAATATGTCAAGGAACAAAGCAGTGGCCAAGGTGGGAACTTATGTTTGAAACCCATTTCCCACATTGGAAAGCACTGAATTGCTTCATTGCCCTGAGACTTTGAGATGGAGAGAAGCATAGCTGTAATTATAAGAAAAGAAAAGGTTGATTATCATACCAGGGCTTGTTCTGTTTTCAGGGTAGGTGAGGAGAACTCTGATTAATGACAACAACAGCTACGCTTATGCCCCTATCGAGCACTGCTAACTATAGGCATGTGCATCTTTTTCCCCAGCAGTGCTGGCCATCAGTAAAAAGAGGTATGGCTTCTTCCACAATGCGTATGTAAGGTGGAAGGAAGGGTAAAGAGCAGCAGTTGCTCTCTGGAACTAAGGCAGAATGAATAAGTAGCAAAACATTAATGTGCTGTTGAAAGCTGAAATTAGATAGACGTGATTCAGTGCAGCCTTCAGGGTCTGATATCTTGGCAACTGCTGCAAGAAATCCCCAATGTGCAGACAAAATAGCCTTTGTGAAGAAGGAGAAGATCGTAGTGTGCAAGTTAATGCATCGAAAGACCAAGAAGTGAATAATTCACTTTTACCTTGCTACAGAGGACAAGCAGCAGTAAAAGCTGTGCACTATTGGCAAGCTTTTTTTGTTGCTGTTTTTAACTCAACCCTTGGTTCAGAGCTCCAGCCACCTCGGCAGTGTTCCAGCTAGAGCTGCTGACATCTCCTACCTAATCAAGTGCTGGATTATCTTGTCCTGATAAATTGAAGCCGGTACCTTGTGAAAAGTCTTTCCTGAAGTACTTTGCTACCCTATAATAAGACAGCAGATGTCTGAATCAAGCCCCAGAGCTGGCAGAGCACTGCTTTTCTAGTGGCTTTTGGTGGCAAGCGTAAATGTTTTAAGGCAAGCCAGTGCTAAGCTCGGAGCACAGTTACACGTGATAAATTTCACTCCTGGGTGAAAGGAAACTTGAAGGTGTACTGGGTACTGGTTCATATCGAGTACATATGGGCTGCACTGCTGACCTCAAAAGACTTGCCCTAAAAATTACTTCTTTTGTGAACAGAGCTCTTGAGGAACGTACTTGTTTTAAAAAGAAATTCTCTTTGGCTGCTCCATCTTTCTAGGAAGAATCGGAGTTACTGAGCTATTAGACACTTGCTTACTGTTCTTGGTCTTCTGTGACTTAATTGCTGGTCCAAGTCATTCAGGGTGAATAAACACTTTTCCTTCTCTAAAACATACTAAGAAAAATGTTTATGTTACGGAAGAAAGAGTGCTGTATATGTGTGTGTTTTTACATTTACTTCAACAGGTAGAACAGCCAGGATAAATCTCATTAAGGTAAAGGTATTCCTCTCAAGCATTTGTTTTTTCTTTCTTAGTTTCACTCCTGGAGAAGAAGCAGGAGTTCTCATGTGCCTGACAAGAAACATCTTCGTGCATTACAGTCACCTGTACTGTGCCTCTTATAACACTGCTTTGCTCTTTTCCAGGGGAATCCCTACATGTGCAATAATGAATGTGATGCGAGTACCCAAGAACTGGCTCATCCTCCGGAACTGATGTTTGATCTTGAAGGAAGACATCCTTCCACATTTTGGCAGTCCACAACTTGGAAGGATTATCCGAAGCCTCTTCATGTTAATATTACGCTCTCCTGGAACAAAACCATTGAGCTGACAGATAACATTGTTATCACTTTTGAATCTGGCCGTCCAGACCAAATGATCCTGGAGAAATCACTCGATTATGGACGAACATGGCAGCCCTACCAATACTATGCCACAGACTGCTTAGATGCTTTCCACATGGATCCAAAATCAGTGAGGGATTTATCCCAGCACACAGTCCTAGAAATCATTTGCACAGAGGAGTACTCTACTGGGTACATGACAAACAGTAAAATAATCCACTTTGAAATCAAAGATAGATTTGCTTTTTTTGCTGGACCTCGGCTTCATAACATGGCTTCTCTTTATGGCCAGCTTGACACAACCAAGAAGCTAAGAGATTTCTTTACCATCACAGATCTGAGGATAAGACTGCTTAGGCCAGCAACTGGTGAAATATACGTAGATGAGCAACACCTGGCACGCTACTTTTATGCAATTTCAGACATAAGGGTATACGGAAGGTAAGAGAATATACGCCTTTAGAAACAAGCATGTATGTTTGGTTTTAGAGGTTATTCAAAACCATTTATACCCCCAAACATGATGATGTTTTCTCCCAAGACATGTTCATTGGAAATCTGGCTCAGTTGATGTCTGTTTCTGGTCATACTAGAATTTTTTTACTTGGTGGCACGATGTCCAGGTGTTTGCTGTCACTAGCCTAGGATCTTAAGCCCTAGGTCTCACAAGCAAGGTAATATGAACAATTTCTTACATTGGCTTGGGAATTCACCCTGGCATTAGGACATTTTCTGCTTTTTTACAGTTGGAGCCACATCTGATGGCGGTTAACTAAAAAGAGGGATTCTGTTTTATCATTTGACTCTTTCAGGCCTTTAATGTGAGCTGTGATTGACCCCTTGCATGGACCTTTCCCGCTAGGTCCAGCTATGAACTGCCTGTGAACAAGGAAGGCAGCAGAGATTAGAGTCCATTCCTTTTAGTTTAATTAGCTCTGAAACGCAGTGAAGCTGAAGTAAAATGGAAAACAACACTAGTGTTTTGGAAAGACTGATTTGAACAGAACAAAGGTATAACTCAGCTGGGTTAAAGACAAAGAGTCCTTCTGGGGCAAGCAGTGGCTGGTATCAGGTGCCGTAGTCCGAAAAATAGTAACTGTGCAATGACATTCCTATCAGGAAATTTTCTTCCCAGCTCAAACTAGCAATTGACTGATGACCTCGAGCAGGAGACTGATACCCCTTACATGTGTCTTGGATGCCAATTTATTCAGAAGAAATAAATGGGACCTTCCCTATTAGCAATTCACTCACCTCTCCAATGTACCTTTTCCTTCTCCTCTGTTCCTTCTATAGAGAATTCAAATCTTCCTTTATAAACCCTTTTTTTTTTCCTTAAGAGAAGCAAAGTATCAAAATGAACAGAAAAGCTAATGTATCTTGGAAAGCCAGGGCATTTTTTGCTGACACAAGACTGAGTGAAAAGAAAATAGAGGCAGTGATTGTATAAAACACTGGCGACTGTATGTTTATTACTCCTGTAGTGAGTTTGCCATTTTCTACCTCTTTTATACAAGCCTTTCATGTTCATAAGCATTTCCATATTGCAAAAATCAATACATAAAATCAAAATAAAATCAAATTACTGTGATGTTATCTGTTGAAAAATATTCCTCTATTCCTGTAACTTTACCTAAAGGAAGAATTGATGCCATATACAGATTTGAATGCACAAGCACTTCTGCAGTGCCAATATTTTTTTTATGTGACATCAAAATATACTTCTTACGACCGTATATTTAGCATATACAGTTACAGTTTTCTGTGTCCACACCAGATCCATACTTATACATAGAGAATCACTAATTGAACATGTGAAAGTATAAGAGAAGTGTTGCTGGTTTAAGAATTCTTATTGTCACGCTCATTAGTTACATTGTGAATTATTTTTCAGAAGTCTCTTGAGAGGGCTATGTGGATCATGGACAGCTTAAGATGCTGTTTGAAATCGTTTAGTAACATTAGCCTCAGTACATAAAAAATAATGCCTATGTTCTATTTAATACATATTCTTTCTCCATGGAGCCCATGTAGGTTAGCTCTACAAGGGATCATATCAATGATCAGGATTTTTCCCCATCTGAAAAACCATTTGAGGCTTAGTCTGACTTCAATTAGACTATCAGTACTTTATCAAAAAAAGCATCTGAAGGATTAAAAGAGAGTGCATTGCATGCAAATTAGAAACAGAAACCTTCTGAGCACATTTGAGGCACAGCAGTCTTGTGAAAAATTATCTATAAAAATGAAGCATGACTGCACAGAGAACTTATCCAGTGCTGACACTTGTTGTCTAAACACTGCAGTAATTGGACACATGCTTTAAAAGAAGTATCTGATGTGTAATAGTATCTCACTAGATTAGATTCATGTGAATTCTTATCACTCTTCTGCTAATGAGAACAGCTCTTCAGGGATTTAGTGGCCTTTCTTTCCATATGTAGTGAGCCCTCCTTGTTAAAGATTTTATGGGTTTGCTTACTGCTAAGTATCTGCGGGACTGCAGTACACAATCCCTGATTATTTAGTCACACCACAGGTAACTTGCAATAGGCCCACTGTCACCCAGTTTTAAGTATTTTTGTTTTCCTACCAGAAACTTTATGGGCCCCCCCCGAAAAGTCTCCAAATCAGCGTTATGGCCGTGTGCCCTGGCATGTCCATGGGCACACGATGGAGGGGAGCAAGGGTTACCAGGGGTTTTGTGCTATTTCTGATTCACCTGAGCTTTCTAGCCCTTGCATGTTAATTCAGGATGTTAACTGGAAATTAAGTTACAAAATAAAATAATTTTTGCTACAATGTTTCATATGCTGGGCTTTCAGACCAAAATACTTATATACATGTATTAAAGCTAGATTAGACTATTCCATGGGGATAGGATACAAAGGGATGTTACCAAGGAGCTTGACATGGTGGATGAGTGATGCTAGCAGGCGCATTTTAAAGCTAGCTTTTACTGAAAATGTAACCTGTAGGTTAAATATAGGTAAGATCACCAAAGCTCATAATAGCATGTTTCTAAAGGCTGCATAAAATGTAATTTGTGAAATGAATTGTGACAATGGCAGTGAAAAGCATCTATCTTAAAGCTGCCATATTTAATATACAAGATGCTGGAGTGGTTAATGCTTCACAGTGAATTACAGGTAGGAGATGGAGATTTGCCTACTTAATATAGGGTTTGTTTTGTCATTGCTTTGCATTTTGGTGAGAAATAACCCTGATGTATGTTGCATTAGAGACGAAAGCCTGTGTACTCTTGATGAATGCCTTACTTCCTCTATTACCACCTGTTTGTTCAATTTGCCACTTCCATTGTGTATTTATTAAGATGATGGGAAAAAAAGGAAACGTGGCTGTTAGCAATTTCAGCAACCCCATTGTGCTCACATTATTCAAGAAACCTAATAATCCACATGAACTAATTCTGACTTACTGATGGTCTGCTTCACTAAATCAGGGGGATTTTTCCTAGAGAATAATGGACGATGCAGTGTGCCAGTACCTTAATTAAAGAGAGCCTCTCTTAGTCTTGATCTCATCTTAATTTACAGGGTAATACTACAATAATACCACTAATGGAAGGTACATTAAAGGGCATCAAGTAGCATTAACTGTATTAAATTGTGGCACTTGTGTTAATTAACTGCTGAAGCAAGATGGTCCTAACGGCTAGAAAGGTCGACTAATGCATAAATAAAGTCTTCTGGGATGGGAAACTAAGAAAGAGCAGAGATTTTTCCCCTCATCTGGCCTTGCTGCAGAGAGTTAGAGGGTGTCCCGTGCGGTAACCTCAGGAAGGTTTCTCTCACTTCGCTGCCTGCAGAGGTGGCCTGGACTGTCTGCAAGCTCTGCCTGTCTTCAATTCCACAAGGACAGTCCTGGCAATAAGCTGTGAGACATAGCTCCCTGTTTCAATATTTTTTTTGTAGGAGAAACGTTCACTAAAATGCTGATAATAATTCCTTTGAAGTCAAGCAAAAGGTTTGTAGCAGATTTTGGATCAGGCTGCTAAAGGTTTAACCATGTTCATTCCAAAGTGTTTTTGCTTTAACTGTTATATTGTGATGAGTACATTTATATGCTGTAAATTAACTGTAATTCAGGATGCTAGTAACAAAACATTGCCCAATAGATGACAGAATGAATAGCTGGCTGAAATAAAGGATCTTACTGCTTTTGGGTGATTAGGTTTTTGATCTAAGAGCCACCAGTTTCCTTCTGACACCAGAATATCCAGCTTCTGTACAATGTTATTAAGCCCTTCGGAATTTATTTTTATACTCTTCTCACCTTGAAGCTTCTGTATTTAAGCCCCAGGGTTTTCTGACCCTGTCTCAGCTATGGTTGCAGTTCCAACAACAATAGAAACCTCTGACTTGCAGTACACAAGTGAAAAGTATTCTCAGTTTTAACAGTTTCTTGCTCTCACATCATCTCTTCTAAATTTAAATCCATCTCAGAATCTGAATAAATTACTCTGAAGGAGAGCATATTTTCTACTTGGGTTGGGGCTTTTTTTGTCTTTTTAGCCAGCCCGCTGCTCCTGCCAGTGGTGACCCTGAATCACTCAGGGTCGCTGTGGTAGGTTTGGGGTGGGTAAGTGCCCTTCCGCTTAGAATGAGCTGATCGGCGCCCCAAACTGGGAGCATGCACTGCAGCCTTCAGCAGGCTGTCACACCGTGAAGGCTGGGTTGTACCAGCTTTCCTCCTCTGGCTTATTCTACAGATCCATTCTACGGATGAATTAATTGGATTAAATTTGTACGTTAGTCTGGCATGCACTTGACAATGGTGTAATAATATCCCTCTGTAATTTACCCCAAAGCAGAACTTTTCTTTAGGGAAGTGGTAATACATAGCAGTGCTTTAGTTTTATTTATAATAGAAAATGTTTTCATTAGTGTTCAGCTTGGAACCAAACCATCAATATGAAGATATGTAGGCTTCAAGCTTTTAAGGAGACAAGTGAATACCATTCTTTTTTCTAGTATTTATTTACCATATTTGAATACTCTGTTTTACGAGAACACTTGCATAAGCAGCTTGTTCTCCTTTGAGATTTTCACTACTATTTGGAGTGAATCTAGCAGTTTCTCCAATTAAATTATGAACTCATTAGAGAACAGGAAAGAAAAAGAAATGTACGTATTTAAGAGCACATCAATTTATTTTTAACTCCCAAGTGCAATTAGATTTTTTAATATATCTGTTGTAATATGTCACGAGGGAAAATAGTCCTTCATTCTCTGTAAACAAATCTAGGATCATTAGGAACTGAAATAATTAAATAGTTACGGTGTTTATTCACACATGAGCAGTCTTCAATGGTTTACTCAGTACAGATGTCCTGGGTGGGTTTTACTCCTGCCCATATTAAAATAATACTGGTTTCCACCCTCCATCCTGGTGATACAGGTTCTTCAATCAGCTTGGAG